AGTACTCCCTCCGTCCCATTTTATATGATGTACTTTGATTTGGCACAAACTTTAAGAAAAATGGAAAGACTTTTAAAACTTGTGGTCCAAAATGAATGATAGAAATTTGTGTGGTTGTAAATCATTTCATTAAGGGTAAAAAAGACATTTCATAGGCAAATTGTTACTTAAAATAGAAATGTGTCATTCTTTTTGGGACTGACTAAAAAGGAAAGTGAGTCATATAAATTGGGACAGAGGGAGTAATTTTTTTATAAAAATAAAAAAAGAAAGAGAAGTCATCAGCTTTATTCATGTAGGCACAAACCTCATAAGAGTTTTTTGCAGGTCGGAAAAAGGGTTTCTCAGATATCGTTTTCTCTTCGTGGGATTTGAAAGGCAAAGCTGTTGTGAGTGTCTCTCTCTATTTCTCTGCTGTCTGCTGTCGTTTCTCTATCTCTCTTCTTTTTTATTTCTCTTTTGCAGTACTGAGTGCTCTATGCTGCAATCGCCTTCTGGAAAGATAATCGAACTAAGCTTCCATCAAATATTTTTTAAATAAGAAGATGAACTTTGACATATGTATTCTGGTTTTCTTTGTATTGTGTTTGTCTCTCTCTGTGTGTGAGAGAGACATAATTTTAAGGGAAGAAAATAGAGAAGAGGTCGCTGTTCTCTTTTTTCACTCAACTAATTTTTATATTCCATTAAGTGTGTACCAGTACTAGTTTCCTATTTAATTTCCTTGCTAGACAAATAAACTTTAAACTAACTCAACCAAAATATAAAATACTACCTGAATTATTTAGTCATTTTTTAAATTGACTCATATAACCTCCTAGCTAGTATTAGCCAAGATGTTGATGGGATGGGTGACTATAATATACGCTCACCAAACTTTGAGGAATAAATGTAAAGAGAATAGTAAAAAATAATTAAACAAAGTGTAAAAAATATATATTTTACAGTACCGTAAACTGAAGGTTTCTCATAGTTTACTCGTCATTTTTTGCAAGTTATCAATCTACCATACCAACTTGCTTTAACATAAGAAACTGTACTAACTATTTAGATAAACTTAAATTATGTGCTTTCATCATTTTCTTTTTTCATTCACTATTTGATATCCATAATGGAGTCCGGCTTACTCTGGGAAAAGCGTTAAGGAATTTTCCATATCCAAACTTTCTTTCATTTTGTTTTTGCTAATGATTGCAACATAACGTTCGTGAGGAGATTAATGATTCATTAAGAATTAAACTCTTACAATTTAAGTAAGTGAACTTTAATTTGCTGAAGGTACAATTTTCTCTTAAAAGTTTAAAATTAAGGTAGGCTAAATAGACATTTCAACGTCATTTTATTAAACGTTAATCTATCATTATCACAACTTTTCTCAATTTTCAGGGAACCTACGGTGTAATTGTCATAGAAACCAAATGCTATATTTTGAATTTGAGTTTATAATTAAAAGGATAAGGTGAGCAATGAGTCATCCCAATGACATTTTCTTATTGCAGTAAAAAAAAATTAAAAAAACTATTCATATTTTATTTCAGTTTAGATGACAATTATACCCTTATAACATTGCCTGCATGACAGTAGTGGTATACTGGTATTGTTGATAGGGTCATGCCAGTCACTTTCTAGACTACTAGCTATTTAATTACTTTCTTTTCCTCCCTTTTATAATTCATTAAAGTTTTTGAACATAATAATAATGTGGAATAATTATTTTCTAATATGCTGATGACAGAAACAAAAAAGATGACTTATAAGTTAATTTATTGCTACTTGTTATAAAAATTTATGACATTACTACTCCGTCCATATAAATTGTCATTTTCCTTCCACACGCCCATTTAAAAATCAATAAGTAAATTATTCTCAACTCTTTCAATGAAATTAATATTATTTTAATGGAAAATTAAAAAAAAATAACTAAGTCTATAATCTTATTTTTATAAATTGACAAATATTTTGGGATAATAAAACATTTTTTAAATAATGTTACAATTAATATGAAACAAAGAGTAGTTATTACTATGATAAAAGTAGTACTTCAATTAACTTGATATTATGGATTAGACATATAATAATAATAATAATAATGGATTGAGAGTATAAGAAAAATAGTATAATTAAATAGGAAGAAAATTAGAGAAACGTTAAAGAATTAAAGGTAACACGTGTTCGAGGGGTTTTGTGTATAAATGGTGTGGAGAGGTGAAAGGCACTGATAACTGACTCATGTTTGGCACTGAGGAAGACTTGTACAACTATCACTATATAAACATACATGTCTATCTATGATTTAGTCACTTTCTTCATTTCTCCCAAAGTTTTTTTTAAAATATTATTGGCTTACTCTTCTCTGGATATTGTATTTTAATCTCTGATTGTAACCTACGCATTATAGTACATGATTTCCCTTTCAAGGGTACGTACCTATACAATATCAAACTAATATGCATATATAGGGTGGTAAATGGTATAATATCAAACTCTAACTTGTTCAATTCGTCAAATTCGTTTTAAGTTTGGACGAGTTATTGATTTACAATTTATTAGCAGCTCAGTTTTTATTTTATGACTAATTAATGGATGTATTTTATTTATCATCACAAGTTTCCTCCTTTATTGTCTTATATATACCCAATGCCACATAAATTAAAGTTGGAGAGTAATTAATAAAAATGAACTTTGGGCTATCTCAAAAAAAAAAAAAATATCAAAATGATATACTAGTAACTAGTAATATTTTATTTTGTACGTCAACTAATTAACATGAGACATTTTAACAGTACACTTTAAACCTCATATTCTAACATAGTAGATGATGCAAGCAAAAATATGTTTACTATTGAATAATGTCTCTTGTCGGAAGGAAGCTACAATCAAATGTTGATAGCATAAAAATGACAAATGTAACAAAATTAATATGTGAAATCAAGTCCTAATATAAATACTGAACATCGAGTTAAGAATGTAAAAGAAAAAAATCAGGTAAAGAGGTGAAACTTAGGAGGATTGATGGTAGACGGACTAACTTTCAGCTGTCTTTGGTGAACTTTAGGGTGATGTCACGTGAATCTCACACTTCACACGCTTCAACTTAATTGACAGGACCACTTCAACTTAACCATTCAAAATCCCTTATCTCATCCACACGTGCCACCTTCCAATTAATATATTTGAATGAAACCCAAAAGGCAAAATATTTAAATGAATCATTAAAATAATAATTTAATATTTTGAAGGAAAAGTTATGAAAAATGTTGTACCAAATTTCAAACATTACCAACAGAGGAGTTTAATTTTACGCTGTTATTTGGATAAGACTAAGTTTTAGTGATCTATATAAGAACAATTAAGCACCTTAATTAGTCTTGTTTCCATATTTGTAATTGAGTCTACCGGAATTCACGTGTTAAAGTATAGGACTTTATGGATTTAAGAAGCATCACATATTTGTTATTTTATGTGGGCATGCAAAAAGTTAAAAAGGTTTTATATGTCGGTTGGTTTTATTTAATTAGCTTATTTATGAAAAAATAGCAGGTCGTCTAACAGACCCTTAAATTCAATTTAATACTACCTAAATTATTTGCAGATGATGGACTAACATGTATAATCAGTTAATTGTCATTTACATGGTCATAAAAGCTTGATAACAAGTTTGCACTGAATCATTCAGATTCTTTAAAAAAAGAAATTGTATCTTCTTTTTTTTTTACTTTAATTTCTTACCCACACCCTCAATATTTACTGAAGAGAAAGAGTGTTTATCATTCGAGCAACCTCTCCTGTATTGTGTAAGACGACATTTCTTTATCATTGAAATCCGTTGATACGCTAATCAATTTAAAAAGAGTTCAAGGTATACGTAGATACACTTTCAAGGTAGATGCACTGTTGATTTTTAGATAAGAAAAGATTAAGTAAATAGAATAGGTAAATAAAATCTGATGGTTTAGTCTGATTTAGGAAGCTAAAACAATGATGTTTTTCTTTACAATAATTGGCGATAGTGGAGTTTGGAAGCTATAATTATCATTGACAAGCGCTTTGTAACTTCCTTTTCCATCATATATGATGTTTTATTGTCTAATTCTTCAGTTGATCCATGGTATCATAGTAACTTAATTCTCAATGTCAAAATATCTTTGTGCTTAAAATTTTATACTTTCTATTCCGATTATATTTACAAAATTGAAAGATGTCATTTATGAGTGCGCGAAGTGCAGACAAATTAACTAGTGATTGTATAAAGCTATAAACAATAGGTAAGGAATGAAGAGAAAGAAGATGAAAGTGAGTTTTTCGTACGAGGAAGCGTCAACTCCATTTCCTATAACTGTCTCTTTGCCTAATGGAGAAATGATAAAAGAGAATGATGCAAAGCAACAGAATAAAAAAAAAGGACCATAATTCATCAGAACTCTCCCACTCAATTACACCCCCCACCCCACGTCGCAACGCTTTGTTATAATTCCTAAAAATAAAAATTTATAGCATAAGAAATATTTACACAATCCGATCACTTATTTTATGTAAATTCTAAATATGTAGACAAAGGGTTGAAAATGGCAGGTTTTTTATTTTTTTTTCTTACTTTTGGCATCACTGAAATCCTCCTTTACCTTTTAGTGATGCTCTTTCTTTTCATTCCCCCTTTTGAGAATATAATTATACGAAAACTTTATTATTAGCTTAGTAGCAGTGACCACAATTCCACTGGAGGAAAGCTTCCTTGATAATTTTAAGTGGACTTATTATTAAAAGTCACCTTCATGATATTGACATTGTGGGTTCAACTTCCCCTTTCTATCTTCAAAACCTAAACAATATTAAAAGCAACAAAATTTTGTAAATCTTTGAATTTATGTCATACTATATCTTCTTCTTTTTTATTTTCTGTGGCATTGAGTATTTTGATGCCATTGACTGATCGGAGCCTTTTGATAGATCAAAACTTGACCAACTTTTGTTGAGGTAGCATGTCTTATTAAATATACATTGCGGTCCATAATTTTATGACTTTAATTTACTCCTTTATCTTTTGAGTAGGAGACGTTGTAATCGAAAGATGAATTTTGGACCTGAAAATTGAAATTGGTCGTGGATCCACACTTTTCTTTACGTAACTTTGTTTAAGTGCTTAGATGTGAAATTCATGTAAGCGACCTCTTCAAATTAAAGCGGATATAGATCGGACATCAAATGAAAAATTAAACCAGACTCTTTTTTAGATATATCTTATGAAACTTAAAGAAGGTTTCATCAAATAGTACCTTTTTAAAAAGTGTTGAATAATCATGATAATTTAGTTTTATTTCCATTTACAAACAAGAACAGAGACTGAAAAATGAAGGGAGATTCTTGAGTGAAAGTGACTGTGAGTTGCATATACCTAGGATGATAAGATCAATATTGTCATGTCACTAGCAATAAAAATGTTTTTGTCGTAGCTCTGAATTTTATCTTGAGTGTGAATGGTACTCTTAAGAAGTCACCTCACTTTCCCCAAAGGTAATTTTAGACCTTTGCAAATTCAAGAACCATACAATAATAGTATATGGCACCTAGCAAATAGTAACGATGTCCATTTTTAAAACTGATAATGTGTTATCTGTCAAAGTTGGATTTGAAAATTGTATAATCTAAGTGCTGATTTTCAAATAAAGTGAAAAAATATT